TATGCATCTTCAGACAGGCCACCTAAATCTGATCAACCCACTACTCGTTATTTGCTTCCATTTGGGGGTGGGTTTTTGGGGGGGCAAACATTCATTTCTTGAAGACAATCCGCCTCTGATTTTACTCCCGTTCTAGTCTTACTCCTTGCACATTTGTTGAACCATTTGCAAAGCATTGTCTTTATGCTTACACTCAAACATCTTTGTCCCTTCTACAAACAACCTTCAGCTCCTTGTCCCATAATCCAAAGCCTTTTCCACGTGATCACGTGCTATTTCAGAGTCACCCTTTAAACAACAAACTTCCTCACGTCCAAGCATCTTATTCTATTTATTTACTTATGAAATTTATTTTGCCACCCATCTCGTCTCCAACAACTCCCATACGTTGCTGAATGAACACTCAAGAGCAGAAGCCATGCCCCGCATGGAGCCACTCGGCATCAGTCTTAGGCTCCTGGTAGAGAGAATGAAGGCCTTGTGCCATTTTGTGCCATGGAGTCCAGGTCTCCCTCTATAGACACGGGAACCTGAATTCTCCAAGAGGACCCCAAAGTTCCAGAGGCGGCTGGTAGGGCTGGTGTGTTCCTCTTGACCTTCCTACCAGGAGGCCCTTGACGTGAGTCGGTTGGAAGACGGGCCATTCTCCCAGACCGGGGCAAACCTTACCTGGCCCACTTAAGCAGGACAAGGCTGTGGGCCTCCCAACCTCTGTCTTATCTTTCTCCTTGGAGCTTCACACAATTCTCCCCTTCCCTCCGTAGCAACAGCACTTTTGCATCGTGGCTTCACCTCTTTGAGCTTGCTGGTTTGCAAGCCATGGTTAAAGCTTAATCCTGCTGCTGTTGACCTTAAGGAGTAACGTGGAAGGAAACCAGGTTAGGCGACGGAACTGCAGTTCTCTGAGAGGGCAACCGAGGTTGCTTTAAAAGGAGAGTGGGACACATGATTGGTGACCGGGTTCTCCAGTTTATATCTCTTTCCCCCTTTCAACAGCCAAAAACACTTCCCTGTCATTGATCCATTCCATCTTGATCCATACACACACAAAATACATCTTGATACATACACGCACCATTCCAGCATATAGGGCAGGAGGGATCTCCAACCTCAGGAACTTTTAAGACTTGTGGACTTCAACTCCCAGAATTCCCCAGCCAGCATAGCTGGCTGGGGAATTCTGGGAGTTGAAAACCACAAACTTTAAAAAGTTGCCAAGGTTGAAGAGCCCCGGCATAGGACAGCCTCCTTCCGGTTGTCAAGCCCAGACGTAGCCTTCACGGGCCCTTGAGGCAAGATACGGCTTGCTCCATAGGCCAACCTCCTTCGTGTATTCACACTTCTCCACGGATAACGTCCACGGCTGCAGATGTTCTGCTAGGAAGCCCTGCTTGCCTCTCTCCCACCTTCATTCCGAAGCCATTTCACTCCTGTCTGAATTGCTCCACCTCTTTCTAAGGGTGGGTCTCTTGCCCAGTTTCCACATTCATGACCTTTACCTGGCACCCTTATCGAACAGGCCACAGGGATAATCCGGAGTCTCCATGGGCCCAAATCAGTGGTGATACGCTGCCAGTTCGTACCGGTTCTAGTGATCTGGTTGTGCAGGTCAGCAGTCGGCCCCCACCTTTCCTGTCCTATATTTCCTTTGTTTGTAGCTCAGCTGATAGGCGCGGCTCAGTAGAACGGATTGCCACATCTCAGCTGTTTTACTTACCAGCACTGAGCTGACTGACGCCCCCTCCCCATTTTCCTCTGCTGCGATCCTCTTTCGGCTGGCATCTCTTTAGCACCATTTTTCTATGTCGCCTTCAAAGTCCAGCTAATCCTCAACTTGCTACGATTGGTTTAGTGACCGTTCGAACTTATATGCTGCCCCTGAAAAAAGTCACTTGTGCCTGGATTTCACACTTACGACCGCTGCAGTGGCCCCAGGGGTCACGTGGTCAAGATTCAGTTGCTTGGCAACTTGCATTCACTTATGACAGCTGCACTGTATCTGTGATGACCCAAAGGGGCGTGGCACAAAAGCAACAAAGTCCTAAAAATAGGTAAAGTCCCTTTAATTCCTCCAACTTGGTCCCCAATGTCCAGTGATCATCAGCTGGAGAAAAAAAACCTCTCCCAAGAACAGTTTTTAAAGGGAAGAAATTCAGTCAGAACCCAAAGTACATATAAATTATAAATAAAAAAATAAAATAAATAAAAACCACCAACCACCTGCAGCAATTAACAAGGCAGGGCAGGATAAGGAATTGCAGACTTCCAAATATAATGAAACACACACAGTTGGGAGGAGGCCAGAACCCAGATAAGACTTGACAAACCAAGATAATTCAGACTTTGCTTCCAGCAAGGTGCTGTGAGCAAACACTCTTTTTAAATCCTGTTTTCCCAGCTGCAGCTAATGAAGGAAATCAGGGCCCTTTCCTCCCCCGTAAGCCACTCAACTCATGTTGCTCCCTTCTCCGTTCCTCCCTGCATGCCCTAGGATGAAGAGGGGGTGGGCCTGGATCTTCTTCTGAATTCCTTCTTCCTTGCTCTACCTCTCCCCTGCTCAGCCCAGCTGGACTTTGCCCTTCTCCAGTTTCCTCCCCAGCCACACTCCCACTCCCTGTCAGCTGCTCGACCTCCCCTCAGAATCAGATTCCAACAGGGGCATGACACTATCCTTCCTGGCCGGCTTCCAACAAGCAAAGTCAATGGGAGAAGCCAGATTCACTTAACAACTGCAGTGATTCGCTTAGTAACTGGCAAGGATAGTCGTAAAACAACCACTTCGCTTAGCAATGGAACGGCCGTTGTGGCCGTACTGCCTGTGAAGGTAAATTCCAAGTCAGTTTCTCAAGAGGATCCAGCCCAACCCAGAGTTTGTGTAATCGTCCCAGCCAAGGGGAGCCTTGGCAGACCTATTCCGTCCTACGCCCCTGAAACTGCGGCCGCCTGGAGACTTCCTGGGCAACCCCAGCTTTTCAGAGCCAGAAATCAGGGTAGAAACACTCTCTGATTTAACCTGGAAGCTCTGGGGCTGGTTTGGAGGTTTCTGGTGCCTCGAAAATTTTACAACAGTCACTCTATCCAAAGTAACATTAGGTGGTTTTCTCTCTTAGCAAAACAAGAGGAACTCTCTTTTTTCTTCTTGGTCTTCTAAATGTAGGGCTAGGCCTGGTTTTCTCCACTAACGAAAAATTTAAACATGAAGACATGAGAATGGCATGTCTTGAGCTTCTTGCCTTAGGGGAGAGGTCTCCAAACTGGGCGACTTTAAGACTTGTGGACTTCAACTTCAACTATGCTGGCTGGAGAATTCTGGGAGTTGAAGTCCACAAGTCTTAAAACCGCCCAGTTTGGGGACGCCTGGCTTAGGGCTTGGCTTTGCTGGCTGGGGAATTCTGGGAATTGAAGTCCACCCATCTTAAAGCTGCCAAAGTTGAGGAGGTTACCAAGGTTGAGAAATAGGGCTTCAAGGGGTGGGAGGACCTGTGTCTTGTCCCTCTACTTAAGGGTCTCAGGTGCTGGCCTAGAGAAGAGACTCCCTGGAAGGGCAGGAAATGCGAGCAAGACGTCCTCAGAGACCCTGCTGAGCTCAGGAGGTCAGCAGGAGAGAGAGGCTTCTGTTTTCAAAGGCCACCTGGCTCTTCCTGGGGGGTTCGACCAACAGCCATGTGGAGAAGGAGGGTTCGTGTCCTCCGCAGAGTCTTCCAGGTCTCATCCCTGCCAGGCCTCACCTGAGACTCCTGGTGCCTCAGGAGTGGCAGCTTTGCTGGTGGGGAGTTCTGGAAAGGTTCTCCTGTTCTGCCTGGTGGTGCTCAAGTTAGCAGACCTCCCTTCTCCTTGGTCTTGATGTGTTCAGACAAAGTTTCTCACTTCGGCTTGTTCCGGACAGCCAACCAGACAGCTATTAGGTTCCTCCCAGAGCAGAGCAGACTTGAGTGCGCAAAGGTATTCCTGGTGTGCGATTTTTCTGGAAGGGACACGGGCCATGAATGGATTCCAAAAGTCCTGCCGTGTCTCGCTGCAGCATCCGCTGGGCCTGGAAGCTTCCCCTCATCTCCCTGAGCTTGGCTGTTTCCTTGCAGCGACTTGCTTAACAACAACTGGGGCAAAAACGATGGTAAAATCAGGCAAAACTCACTTAACAGCTGCTTTGCTTAGCTATGGAAATTTTGGGCTCCCTTGTGATCATAAGTCGTAATGAAAGTAACACCATCAATGCTAGTGCTAACCTGGATGGTGTTACCTAGTTGGTGTCAGGATTCCGGCAGTTACTCCAATTAAATCATGAGCCTCGAGCCACACTCCCAAAACTAAAAAAGTTTTCCTTGAAGGTAACATTCTATGTCTGGCATTTGCCTGGGCGTAGCCAACTCTGAGACACGTAATTCACTGTCACCCTTGATCCTGCTTCCCCACCCCCCACCCCTCTGGGTGTATCATCCAATGAAACACATCCATAGCCAAGAGTCGTCAACCATGCTCTCCAATTAGATTTTTGCGTGGCAGAAGCTTCAGTCATCTAATCAGTGTTTAAAGAAAATATGAATGGAATGTACTTTCGATTCCACACTGCTGCCTGCTCTTTGGAACTCCCTGCCCCCCCTTCTTTCTTTGTCAACTATAAAACATGCATACAAAATGTTTTATGAGTTGACAGTTGGGTCATACAATGGTCTGCAGGGAAACAACCAAGCCCAGAAAGCACCAAGGATCCTCATTCCAGCCCGGAGCTACGAATATTCTCCTTTGTTGGCTCCATCCTTCCTGGGCAGTTTCCCCGCAACGGAGGGGCACAAAGGAGAGGCACCCTCTGCAGGCTGCTGCCTCTTCCGAGACCCGCCGCGCCAGTCCTGGGAGCGGCCAGAGAGGTCCGAGGGTGGACAGGCAGAGGCGCGTCGGTGCTGGTGGCAGGATCTCATCTCCTTTTGTCTTGTTTAGGTTTCTCCTCTGCCTCCTACTTAAAGGTCCATGTTAAAACCCACCACGGTGTTCCCCTTCCCCAGGTCTCCAGGCACCCGGAGCCCATTCCGAATGGGGGAGCGGCGTTCCACAGCGTCAGGACCTATGGCATCAAAGGCAAGCGACCCCTCCCCCGATCTCGGCGTAGGACTCTGGTGGGGGCGGCGGCAAATGGGCGGCCAGGGGCCCGTCCCGTGGCCGAGGACAGGACCGAGCGAAGGACTTAGGGAGCAAGGGATGGCTGTGCCCAGGCCGTCCAGGGCACCCACCGGCTCTGGGAAGGGAGGCCCCCGCTGGGATTCTGCTGTCTCGGGAGGGGGTAGTGGGGGGGGGACGGTTCCTGCCCTCCCTGTCATGCTGAAGAGACACAGATCAGCTCTTCCCTCTTCCACCCAGGGCATCCCTGGCCCCTCTAGCATTGTGCTCCATTGTGTTCAGTGTTCGTTGCATGGGAGAGCAATTTTGAAGCATGTGTTCCGGTGAGGTCCTCCTGACCCTCAAACGAGCGTTTTCCTCACCATTTTCCCGGCAAGGGTGTCCACTCCCCACCACTCCCGCCCCTATCCCAGACTGGCGGCCCAGGACCTCCTGGAGAAAGTGCATTTTCTGCATAGGTCCCCTGGAGCCTCCACGGCCTCCGGCTGACCTCTTGGTGTCCACATCAGTGCTGCAGCCAAGGAAGCTCTGGCTGCCTCCTGGATGGGGGGAGAGGGGCTCGATTCTCCCTCCTCTCCCTCCGATCGGGCAGGGAAACCCGGGAGCCCTCTGGGCAGAAGGCCGGGGTGGGCAGGCTGCTCACGGGGAGGACCGCTTGGTGGCCCCCAGACGGGTGTTCAGCCCTGGGTGTCGGGGAAGCGGTGGGGGCTCCGGTTGACCTCATGCGGGTGGGCAGGGAGGCTGCAGGCCCTGCAGTCAAAGGCAGCCTTGTGCCCAGGGGGAGTGGGCCCAGGCTCCTGGCTCCTGAAGCCCGAGAAGGCCGTTGCGTGGTGCTGGGAGTGGCCACCACCAGAGTTTCCAGGCTTCTGTTCCTAGGGGGAGAGTGGCCCTTCCTCACCCCCCACCCCTTTGTCGTGCTTGAATCGAGCCCTTTCTGTGGGTTTATTG